CAATTACTACAAATATTTTGAGATGAATCATGTCGTGGAAGCTTTCATCATTCTTCCTGGAGGAGTTGACACTATGGAAGGTTTGTTCACCTTGATCTCGTGGGCTTCTGAAGGGTTACACAATAGACCCATTGGTCTCTTGAACATTGACGGTTATTTCAATAACCTACTCAAATTTCTAGATGATGCGGTGAGGCAGAACTTCATGGCTTTGAATCAAAGGAAACTTTTTATTTCTTCATTCTTTGTTGATGAGCTTTTAAACAAACTAGAGTTTGCTAAAGCGTTCCCAGAACCTGGGGTTAGTTACGATGAGTTCGTGAATCCCGGAAGACTAAACTTGGAATTGCATTTATAACTTTCTACACGTAATCCAAGTTGTATTTGTGTTTAAATAATATTATCCATAAACATCAATGGTTAGTCATATATGAGCTACATTTGCTTCATTCTTCAGTCTTTCACTGTTGGCGTCATTTATTCACGTCAAACGAGTCAATCGATTTGTCTAGTCAGCATCCCTATGTTTCACTTAGTCAATTCAGACTACCTCGACGTTTTTGATGATAAACAACTAAATCATTAGTCGCTTCATAGCAAGGCATCAATTCATTCAACATGTTCGAGATGTCTATAGCTTTTAACAAACAGGTTCTTCGAACAAATCGTCTATACGTAGTAAAGAGTAGCGATTCTTGATCGTCAGTTTGTCCATCATTCTTAACAGGGATGTGATAGTATCTTGACCGTAAGTCGATCTTAGAGAATACAATGAATCCTCTAAGCTAATCAAATAAGTCATGACACGAAGTAAAGGATAACGAATTGTTCAACTGACAGTAGTTGATATAGAGTCTCATTGATTCTTCCTTATTCACGTTTGAACAGAACAGATACTCTCCGATAAAGGAAACACTTTGTCAAATGATTCCTTCTTAGGCAATCTTCATAGTTGAGTTTTTTTTTTAACGGAAACATATTCAATACAGAGTTACGAATATTGGTCCTCTCGAGGATCAAGATTGACAGAGTTTTCAATTTCTTGGAACGGTGAGATATGAGGAAGTTCATATCAGAGAGGTGACATACTTTTAGTACGTTCCTACAGTTCAGATATTTTTTTTTGAGTATCGCATGAATAGAATTCACACTTGAGATGTTTTTGTATATATATTCGAGATGAACTTGGTTGGTTTAGAAATCAGCTTTGCTTTCACCTATATAAGGTTACCATCATTGGTCTTCACTTGAGGAATTCTTCATCACAAGTTCACAACAGCAACGACGTTCAGTCTGTTAATGCATACTAAGGATAATGTCGGTTTCCTTGTATGTGACTTCAACGATGTTTTACAAAGAATTGTCGCATAACGAACGATTTCGATTCACATCAAGTAATCGCATAATGTCTCCTAATGAGTCCAACAATAATATCGGATACTTTAGATAACAGAGTTTCTTGATTCTAAACGTTCGTGTTTGAATCAACGATTAGATCGTCTTGAGTCCATATGAGGATCTTTGACATCGGCTTCACAGATGTTTCTCAACATTTATCAACACGAATCGTTATTTAGGTTCATCTCACTTCCGTGCGACTTTTCCGGTACAGATCAATTTCGTCATTCACGATGTGATGCGTACGTTGATAACGTATCAGAGGTTTATACATTTTTTTATTCTTTCGTTTCTTCACTTAGTACGAAAGTTCAACTTAAGTCCTTGTTCGATATAATTTCATTACCAACAATTATTATCTAATGAGAATTTAACATAGTCAATATTTACCAAGTAAATTCTCATACCTTTCCTGGAGCAGAGGGATGCGAGAGTCGTGGATGTGATTTGACAATATTTTTTTTTACCAAAAATATATAATATATATTTTTAAATCAAACCTTGATCCGAAGATCGTGTTTAAAACCATTTGCTCCGATACCAAATTCTAACACCCTAATCCGTCCAGGTTTACAACCCTTTCCGAACTAAAGTATTAACTTGGTAATCGTATAATTTAAAACATTTCAAATAACTTTATTCATCATAAATGAAATTTCAAACATAATTGTAGTAAATACGGAGTGTTTAATGCGGAAGCGATTTTTAAACAGGATTCATAATAACATAATCATTTATTTTCTCAATAAATCCACCACGACTGTCTCGCCCCTTCCGCTGCCAAGAACATGCCATTCACTCATTATGTCTACCCGCGTGTAGCAAATAAAACATACTACACGCTCAGCGATGAAGCTGAGTAAGCATATCAAAAGCGTCGAACATCCAAATAAATTGAATCTCAATTCATAATCAACCATTTGATATCATGCACACA